TTTTTTTTTTTTTTTTTTTTTTTTTTTTTTTTTTTTTTTTTTTTTTTTTTTTTTTTTTTTTTTTTTGTCTAAAAGGATGCTCGTGTTCTTACTATTCCCTAATCTAATCAACTCATACTACTCAATCTTAATCATAAAAGTCGGGTTGTAGATTTTTTTTTTTTTTTTGGGTTGAATTTTTTATTTAGTTTGCGGGTTTGGCACTCGCCCAAGAATATTCAACTTTTGTAATAGATTTATTGAAATAATATTTATTTATTTACATTGTTTAAAGAAAATAACAACCCGACAACCTAACTCAACTCAACTCGAAACTAGAAAATTGGGCTAAGTTGTGAACTTTATTCAAGTTGCTCGAGCCACCAAAAGATTTTTCTAACCGAACCCAGTACTAATCCGTGTACAACAAACCTATCTATCTTGTTAGTTAATAGGTTATATATATATATATAATTATAAAACGTGTTTGAGAATTAAATAAAAAAGTAAAATTAGTTTTGAAGTGAATATCTTCCCTCCAATTTGAGGGATATATGTTGTCTTTTTGTCATGCCACGTGGGCCCCAATCCATGCCATGCTGACAAGGCCTCAGATTCCCTCATTAATTAAATTATTTACCCAATCTGGAATAAACCGGAGCTGGTTTTTCATTGACTTAACTCCTCCTCTTCCTCCCTCTTCCATTATATTATACAGTTGACTGTTGGATTAGATTCAAATACAACAACGCATCAAATGTTCATATCTTAATTTCCTCAAACCAATTAATCCCAATAATCAAGTAACAAAATTAAATGATTTCCAAAAACCCATCAGTTTCTGGGAATTTTTCTTCATACATAGAACAGATACAACGCCGGAAACAGAGACATCCATTAATCACCACTATGAAGCAGCTACTGTTTCTCCCTTGCCGGAGATCTGGGTCTGAACGGCCACCGATTTAGAAACAACCACCGCCGCCGCCGCCGCCGCTGCCGCTGCTGCTGCTTTCTTTGAAGCTAAACTGCACTTCTCGATTCGTTCATCTTGTTTCATTTGCTTTTGTCTACATTCGTCGCTGCAAAATCCCCTGTCTCCCCTGAAAAAACAGAGTCCATTTTCAAAACCCATATTCTAAAAATCGGATTGGATTTAAATTGATCTACCTGTACATGTAAATATCACGGCCAGGGACGAGAGGGCGAGTGCAAAGAGAACAAGCTCTGAGGAAATTAGCGTTGTCTTGTAGATCAACCGAGTGCCGTCTGTAATTTCTTGGGGACACCATTTTTTGGGTGATTGTTGAGTAACCAAGCGACGGCGGCGGTAATTGGTCGGTGGCGGAGCTGCCCAGATCGAAGGTGATCTCCGTCATGCTCGGCGTGCGTTTCATCGGAGCACGTGATCTCTTCCCCAAAGACATTTTTTAATTAATTTCCAAACCCAGAATCACAAAAAACCGGTTCTGGTTTCTGAAGGAGGAGGAAGAAGAAGAAGAAGAAATGAAGGGGAGGGAGAAGTGGAGGAGGAGGAGATAAAAAAGAGAGCCAGCAATTGAGGAACGAATCTGGTCCGTTCATTAGAATCGAGAATGACGCGTGTGAATAAATAAATAAAAAAAAATAAGGGATCCACGTCAGCCTGTCCATTTCAAAAATCAAATAATTTGTAGTTCTACTTGGAAAATCATTTAATGGAGTTGTTTTAAATTATTGAGCTCAAGAAGGGTATCTCCGTAATTTCACCTCTCTCTCTCTCTCTCTCTCCAAGGTTGGGAATCCGAGGAATGAAAGGTGGCAGTAAATTTCATGATTTTTTATTTTTTTTACTGCAGTGAAAGCAAACAATAGTGGAAGTAATTTGTAGTTTTAGGTGAATATTAAAACATTAATCAGTGGCTAATTAATCTAATGCATAGGTGTATGTGAGTGATGTTGATGGAATTAAGGAGGAATATAAGGTCCACTAAATTAGAGTGGTCCATTTATAAACTTAATACACTTCCTAGACTCACACATGTGGAGCACAGCTCACTTGAAGTTGAGGTTTCAGATTCCAATTATTGTTGTGTTCTTTCTTCTGCATAATTCTCACAATAAACCGCTTTCATTGTGTAAGCAAGCAAACTGCATCATTTTTTTTTTTTTTTTTTTGAATCTTTTCTCTATCAATAATCACATGTATTGCTCGGTGAATGTGAAGAAGTAGACCATTATCTCGGGAATAATGACCCAAGCTAATATTTGTAATGCTCCTTGTAACAATCCAATCTTACTATTATAAACAATGTTTCGTTGCTCTTTCTAACCCATATGAGATCATAATCTACCCCCGAGACTTCGCATCCTCCCTGGTACACTACCCAGATCCACCCCCCTTCGAGATTCAGTGTCCTCTCTAACACACCGTCCGATATCCACCAACGTCCTCGTTTGCACATTGCCCGGTGTCTAACTCTGATACCCTAGCCAATAATATTGTCCTTTTTGGAATTTTCCCTTTCGGGCTTCCCCTTAAAAATTTTTAACATAGTCGAAATTAAAACTAACATAAAATATGTATCATCACTCTATCGACAGAGAGTGAGGTGAAATTTATGGTGGGGAAGAATGGTTTGATAGGGGTGAAGCAGTGAGTGTTGTGGTTGGAAGAATGCCTTAAATGCACGCATCAGTTGAATGTTTCACCTTTTTCACAAATCATTAGAGTTCCATCAACTACTGACTTAAAAACAAAATTAACACAACCAAACATGTTTAGATCACTGTCGGCTCACAACATACTGATGGACAGATTTCTTCAGCCACTTTCAAGAAGAATGAGAGATTATTGCATAATTTGATATGGAACTGTCTTCACTCTTCAAACACTAGACCTTCATGAGTTGAACTTGAATCTCTGAGGATTCACAAGAAGAGTTTTCGAGGTTTTTCTGCTTACTGTGTTCTTTCATCATCTCGGCATGTTTGGTTATGTTGAAACCAGCATTATTGTTTCCACCAAATGCAGGCACCAGCTGGTCCATATCAAACACATCCTCCTAGTGTCCTCTTGGAGTAAACGAATTTCACTTTGTTGGCTGTTTTTGTCTCCAGGGAAGGCTTTGCAACCTGTAAACAAAACAGTACATCATCCAGCAGTGTAAACAACAAATAATTGCAGCAGGTACACAGAAATGGCAGTTTAGTATAGATACTAGAACTCTCCTATATGGACCACACATCATAGTGAGATGAACAGTAAATTCAGACACATTTGAAGGACAAGTAACAATAAGATTGCATAATGATTCAAAAGAGATACCTCTCCCTATCAGGCGTTTAAAACCCTGAGGAAAAACCCAAATAAGACAATATCTGCTAGCGGTAAACTTAAACGGTTACAGATGTATAGAATTGTCAATCCAAGAAGTTCGGGATGATGTTCCCGTAAAACATGTGCAGTTTCCTTTGATGCTTTCAATGAGATATTGACATGTCAAAATCCTTGAAATCAATCAGTCAGATCATACTCTCCTGGTCTGGTGGCAGATTCAAAATAGCATGCTCCATGCAATACAGATCTCACTATCAATCAAATGCATAAAACGTCATAGCTTGAGTATTGAACTAAAAACTTGTCAAAACAGACCTATAAGAACATAAATAAAGAGTCTTTGAATTAAACAATATGGTAAAGAAACATCCTCGTCGACCATTGTGTGGACTAAAAAGAAAATAAAGTAAAACAAAACAGAGGGAATGATCAATTCAATACGCAAGCTACTAAAAGGAAGGCACACCGCCCATGGGTTGGGGCATTAACCCAAGTTCCATGTGTAGAGTTTGTCCTGTTCAATAATAACACAAAAGCACTGCACAATTTCATACAAATATTAAATGTGGTAGGCACAGTTACAACTTAGGTAGAGAAAAGGGATGGAAACTGCCAACAAAAGAATTACTATAATTTCAAATGAAGAGGGGGGGTATGGTATGTACATGTCAATTAGGCATTAACGCCATTCTAAGATTTTGACACCTTCAAACACAACCCCTGCTGCTGCTCCCCCAGGCCATTAGTTTCTGTACAAATTGTTTTCTATTCCCACCTGCTTTATCCCCTTATAACTTTAGCTCCCTCGCACCATATTCAAACTAAACAAGGGCTGAGCAGAGTGTGTTTCCTCAAAAAAGGTCGAGAAAACACAACATTGCAGCAACCCTGAACATTCTTACCTGCCTAAACTGTCATCTTTTCGTGCATTCTATTGTCCAAACCAATGTTTTGAACATCTTTAACGTGTGAATTTACCTCGGCCAGCTCCCCAGAGAGTTGATCTCCATCTACACGAGGGTTAATCATCAAAGACCATTTTTGCAAGTTACGGCAATTGAGGACAGTAATTCCACTGACCACAAGCATCCAATTCAATTCCCATTTTTGGCCCGTAGCTCTCGAGTTCTCGTGATGGAACATCCAGGTGCCATGATTTGATCCCTAAACATGCATACATAATACTGAGAGGAAAAGAAGCTAAGTGGCCCAACTTCACGATGAGCCTCAAACAGCACGCTCACCTTACGGTATTATGCTGCCAACCCAAAAGGATCCACTAAATCAAAGAAATGGATCCCTCCCCGCTCAGAACAGATGTCTGCAGATGCTGTGCAACTTATTTCATTACTGTATGCTTCTGCTCTTCTTATCTTCAACTACTTAGGTTTAAGATTTCCGAGTCAATCACATACTCAGACACTGCTAAGGATCAGCATGCAATGTAGGCTTCAAAAGCTTAGCATCATGAGGATGCACACATAACATTAACCAAGAGGTTTCCTCTGAACCATTAAAACAATTCAAAAGCCATAATTAAATATCTCTCTTCCCAATAGTCCCAGCAGAACTTTGTCTTTTGTGCATACCATAATGCCAAGTATCTCTCAATTTGTCACCTGACTGATCGAAGTCTTCTGGGGAATTCTCTACCGCCGCCTTAGAAGGCCGGTAATTTCCATTCCTAGGGATTACCGCAGAGTTTGATTTCTCATCATCTTCCGATGGTGTTCCAGACCTGGACTCCACGTGTATATCCAGAGTCCTATGTCTTGGAAGAACTGATCTCAGACCCCTAATGTTGGAAGAGTTCTTCCCAGGCAAAGTAGATTGAGTAGACCCCTTCTGTCCGAGGAAGTCCTTGGGGAGAGATTCCATGTCCATGTAACAGTTCCTTGACTTCGCATCAGTGATCAGCGCAGCCCAATCTTCAGACTGAATCAAAGCATTAGCATTACCCATTACCTGGTTGAAAAGAACAATATCGAAGTTTTCAAATTGTCAGATAATAGTATAAGTATGTATCTATGTAGGTGTAAGAAAGACTGCAAAAACTTGATGGAGAGAAAAATAGAAGCATACCCACAGGGCCCTCCTGGCACGAGTCAGTGCTACATTCATTCGACGAATATCTGCAACAAAGCCAACGCCATGGTTGGAGGCACGCACACAAGACATGATAATCACGTCCCTTTCTTGACCTTGGAAAGCATCAACAGTATTAATATACAGATCCTTCCCTTCTTCAGAGATCAGAACCTCCTCAAACTCACGTTGGAGGCACTTCAATTGGAGCTTGTATGGTGTTATTATACCGACAGAAACTTTACCTATGCCTGAAGACTTCACGGTCTTTTGTAGATGTTCATAAATACGAAGACAAAATTGTGCTTCATGAGTATTTTGATATGAAACAGATCCCCCTCTATGAGATTCCCGTCCATGCGTAATATCAAAGAAAGTGTAAGGTCTAAGTAAAGGGTCCTTGTAGTATGTTTCATCAGGTAAATTAGCAACACTTTCACTGTCAGTAAGGCGTCCTTGGTAGAAGTACCTTGAAGGGAAGTCACGTATTTGAGGATGCATTCTGTACTGCACTGATAACAACATAGTGGGACATCCTGCTTGCTGGAATCTTTCAAAGAGACTTCTACTGTACAACAGTGTTCCTGCTGCTTTACTGATTACTGTGGCTGGGAGCTGCTGGGGATCTCCAACAAGCACACACCTTGCTGCACCAAGAGAAAGCGGTGGAAGAACAGCTACCTCACTGGCTTGGGCTGCCTCATCAATAACTACCATGTCAAAACCATGAGAAAGTCTAGAAAATAATTTGCGACCACTGCTTGATACTGTAGTGAAAACTATCTCAGCCTCGTTGGCAAAACTTGCCTCAAGACTAGCTCGTGCATCCTCCATATTGAAATTGCTGTTAGATCGAAACCTGCTTTCTAAAATAACAAGGCGTGACATCTCAACTAGAATTTTATCCCTACCTTCTATAACAGCAGCAAGGTTTTGCAACAATGCATCTCTATTTTGGTCACGAGCTACCAGAACATCAGGGTCAACACCAACAGATCCTTGAGAACGAACGGCAGCTGCAGCAACATTGAGTTCTCTCTGAAGATTACTGATTTGTTGAGATAATTGATTTTCACGAACCTTTAGCTGGTGCATCCATCTAAAGATTTCATCTCGACTTTTGACCAAAAGTTGTTCTGTTCTACGCTCAACTGAAACTGCTTGAGCAGCACGAGTTTGTGAATCAACACCAACTCGAGCCACATCAGGTCGATATACCTTCATCTCCCCATCAATAAACCCCCGATCAAGAACACGAGCAAGAAGCTCATCTGTTGCAGCATTTGAAGGTGCACACACTAACATTCTAGGTTTAGGACACAGTGTAGGAAGAGTGCGGAAAAGATTTTGGTCCATGTTTTGGAGTACCTCATCAATGGATCCAGTAGTGATATGATCTGAGCTGCTCTCATGAGCTTGTTTATAGCTTTCTGGTGCTAGTTTCTTGAGCAAAGAAGTATAGTAATGCTGATACTGAACCAGATGTATAACATTTAGCATTCCCCAAACTGTATGGGTCTTACCTGTTCCAGGAGGACCTTGTACGAGTGTAAAAGGCCATGGCTCTTGCTTCTTGACTGTCCCACTGCTTGTACCAGCAGCCGTATGAGTTGCTGCCCATTGGATTGCAGATAGCTGGGGTCCATTGAAGGTCCTATGCAGATACTCAACAAAATTTTGTGTGAAACACTCGGGCATAGCAGGTGATTGTTGCTCATACTTCGGAAATTGCTCAGGACTAGGCTGAAGGATTGAAGATTGCATCTGAGACAAATGGTAAACAATTAGCAGAATGGTAACAATTTAAAGGGGAATACATAAGGCGCCCTTGAATCCAAATAAATGCAAACACCACTACCTGCACATTGAGCCGACGAAATGCATGCAGGGCGACATACTCTCGTTGGGTTGTTGCAAGAGAACCGAGCAATGTTAAAAACCAAACATTCTTTGTCTGAAATTTTCTAAGTATATGATCTTCTTCAATCCTGCTATTCAAAAAATAGTAATAATATGAAAAATCGTATAAAATATAAGATAATATCATACAGGAAATCCTCCCCACAAGAATTTTGAAGAAAATAGGTTTTTTTTAACAAAAAGAACTTTAATAAATAGTCTCCTTTTCTGGTAAAAAAAAACAATAATACCAGTAATGATAAGAAATTCACAACATCAAATCCATGCTGACAATGACAACTGTGTAGCTTAATAACAAAAAACAAACTTTCTACAAACAGAAATAAAAGTGACACAAGCTATGAGTGATGATATGCGATAACTGTAGGAGGAAAAACATTTTACTTCCTTTCAGACAATTATGTTCCTTGTAAACCAAACAACAGTCAAGTCCCGTGCAAACCTCATTCACATTCAAGACTTCATAAACCCACTTTATACCCAAAATAAGTTATCTAATTTTTCAGTTACTCTTCATAACTGGAACTCAAAAGTACTACCGTAGTATCAACAATGGGACTTGAAGATATCTCTGCAAGCAGTGCTAATATCTTAGTGCAGCATGAGATTATAGTACTTGGAAGAAACTTCCGAGTAGAATTCACATTGCACCACTCAGAACTACATTGAGAAGATACTTGGCAAGTGCCTTCAAGCAGCAGCATTATAGACGTGCATCATTAAAGGTTAACAGAAATATCACTAAGATTGAACACTGAAATAATCAATGAATTAGAACCTCACAAGTCCAGTCCATCAGACTGAAAAAAGTTTTTTTCTTCAAAATTATTCTACAAGAGGTATTATATACATTTTGTAAAATAATTCAGTCAACATAAAATGGCAAGGAAACAACCATCATCAAATTGAAGAAATTGAATATGAACCTACCTATTAGGATCATATGAGTCCCCAACATAAAAATGAAGGATAGCCCCTGGAGGATCACGGGTGTCAAGGGGAATGTGTCTTCGTACAGTTCCAGCCACACGTCCACCAGATTCAGGGTCTTCATCATCCTCCTCAGATATAGTGCTGTTCCTCTTAGATCGAACTGCTCAGCATATTTAAAGATAATTTTAGCAAGAACAATGCCATATTGAAAAACTACTCAC